CTGCTGGGTTGTTTCCACCATGCCAAGTGTCGGCGCTACCGGACCACCCTGGCAGCCTTCTGGCTTCTCTGCTGCAGGCGTCCCCGATTCAGCTGCTGCTTAAACTGACCAGCAGCGGCTGAATCAGGGACTGCTGGGGCAGAGCTGGACTATCGGAAGGGGGGGATATGAGGGGTCTGGGGTGGCATCCACCCCACCCCAGACCTCTCATAGCCCCCCTTCCGATAGTCCGGCATATCTGATAATCCGGCACCCCGTGGGTCCTAAAGGTGCCGGATTATTGGAAGTTTACTGTACATCCCTAATTTTTAAGTCTTCCTATGTTGATTACAGCTTGAATTATTTTTCTTTTAAGGCTGTTGTGTTGGCGGTCTTGGGAGTCGTGTAAGGATTGTCTACACTGGAAAGCTTTATTATATATCTGTATGGTTAAAGTGGAAATCCTTCACAGGCGTGCAAACATGTATACCTGTAAAAATGCTTACACTAATATAGGCTATTCCAGTTCAGGAAGTAAAATAGGCTATGTTGATGTAAGGCACTTCTGTATCAGTGTGATTGCACCCATACTAGGGCTTTTACCAGTGTAAATATATTGAGTAAAAAGACACACCTACCCAGCATCTTTATAGTGGTTATCTTTTCTAGTATTTACCAGGATTAAAACAGTCACTAATGGCCTTTGAAGAGCCCCATCCATACCAGTGGAAATCAGTCTTTGTTTTTTACCTTGTTCTACCCTCAGGTAGTTCAAGGTTTCAAGATGCAAGGGTGCTTGAGAGTAAAGGTGGAAGATTTCCTCACTAACAGATTTTTATTCACCTAGGTCAGAGCTGCCTCGCCCTTTTTCTTCCTTTATTGTAGGTGTCAGAGTTTATGCCCTTTCCTACTGTCACATCAGCCCCCAACAGTACTTGGGATTCCCTCTCAAGTCCCTGACATTGGCCATTGTCAGAGGACAGGATACTATGTTAGATGGACCTTAGTCTAACCCAGTATGGCCGTTCTTATGTCATTATGAGAATGACACAGTATATTCTTAAACAAGGAAATTGTGGAGGATTTTCTACTGAAACCTCTAGCCAAACATATTTTTAAAATTACTGTTTTAAAATGTGCATTTTGAAGCATGGGGGAAATTTTTGAGTTGAAATTTAGATATGTTTGTCACTGTTTCATAAACTACTTGAATTTTTAATGCAGCTGTGTTTTTCCATAAGATCTGAGTAGTATAATTGGTATAAAATTTGGCAGAAGGCTTCTAAGATTGGGTTATTACAAGGACACGCTATGTACAGATGTCGGAGTCTTTCAGTAAATGGGTTTTCAAATAATCTTGTATTATGCCAGACTGTTAATGGATTAACTTTTAAATTCTCATTTCTTCCTTACAACTTCCCTTTTGAGCAGAAGAGTTGCCTTATTGGGTACTGTCTGCAATGAAGTGTCTAGCAAATTGTAAGTATATCAACAAATTCTAATAAAAACAAAATTGAAGTAACTCCTATCTTACTTCACCTTATTCATTTTATTTAAAGGGTCAAACTTATGTCTTAAAATTCAGTCCTAGAAAGCAGAATGGAAAAAATCCTCAGGGTCGTTTGGTTTATACCCTTGCAAATGCAAAGTATTTTCTTGGAGAATATGAAGCAGTTCTGTCACGAATGAAAGCTCCACAGTTACAAGCAAATCTCTGTAAAATGGCTTTTTTGTAGGCTTTTGGCTAAAAATCTTACTCTATCCAAATTTTGTATGTAGCTTTCTCTTATAACTTAAAGCAAGGTAAGGGTTTGGTTGTTCCAGGACAATGGACTGTGCCTGGAATTTGATTTTCGCATAAAATGGAAAGGGAGGGTATCTGGCAGGAGGGACAGTTATACCTTATTGAATGCTCGATTGTAGTAATACTAATTCAGGTTCAGCAAATACAGGAGAATCCTGTGTCCTGCATTAGCAAAGATCATTATAACTCCACTGAACTCTTCAGGATCTATGTTTCTTCCAGAGAGATGTTAGAAACCAAAAAGCAGTGTGTGGGACTGTGGAAGCTCTTTTACAAAGTGTGCATAAATGATGGGGAGAGAGTGGCATAGATGGTAACTATGCTAGCTGCCAGAAATTTCTGATAGCCACAAAATACTGTGAAAATGTCCTGCAAGACACACAGCTAGATGGCAGCTAATTGGAGGGCACACTGGGATATGCTGCATTTTACATCATTACAGTCATTTGGGGCGAGTACTTATAAGTGCCAGTGTGAACAACCAAGTTTGGCAGCATGTGCTGGTGTAACTTGCATCAACTGGACTTTATAGCTGAAGCATGGCCTTAGTTTGGTAAACCTTTAGAAGCAACAGAAAGTGAGGGCGTTATGATTAGGATTGTACTTAAATTGCAAAGAGATCACATTTTCCAAAGGTGGTGTGATGGGTGGACCAGGCCCCGATATCCCTGCTGGATGCCTTTCCGTACTCTGCCCTGCAACAGGAGCATAAGAGAGGTCCTCCAAGCAGAACAGAGTTGCAGCCTCTGCTGCAGCCAATCAGGGCGCAGCAGACTGATATAAAAGGAGCTGCTGGGCCTGGGCTTGCCAGTTCCTTGCTGGAGCTTGACCCAGGCAAAGCTGGACTTCAGATCTGGTCAGAACTATGTCCAGCAGCTGAAGACTAGCCAGTAAGATAATGGCAACACTTTGCAGAACCCTGGACAAGGAGAATTTGACTTCAAGGCTCAAGAGAGGGCTGGACAGAGCAGCTTCCCAGGGAAGTGGCCCACAGAACTTGACAGCAACCGACCTCTTTGAGACTCAGCAGGTAACTGGTACTTACAGGGTCCCTGGCCTGGGACCCAGAGGAGTAGGCGGGCCTGAGTCCCCCTAATCCCAGCAGCCACAACGGGGTAGGAAGAAACCTGGTCCCAGGCCACTTCCTCTCCTGCAGACAGCTGAGTAGAGAGACTATAAGACCCCCCTCGGCCACTGAGGGGCTCTTGCAAGAAGGGTAGAGCCTGTTACAGTTGGCAGAATAAAATAGCAAATTTTGCAAATGACCAACCCATGAACAAGGTGTGTTTCTTAGTGGCGTTTCCCAAACTGAGGGATTGTGACTCAAAAGGGGATTTCAAGCGTATTATAAAGGTGTTGAGGCACTGCCATCCATACTTCTTTGCTGCCTGCAGTGCTGAGTGATTGGAGAATGACAGCTCCTACCTAGCTGCCCAGCTCTGAAGGCAGCAGAAGTAAGGCTGACAATACCATATCGTGCCACTTCTGTGTTACTGTCAGCAGTGGCACTGCCTGAAACTGGACAGTGGAAGAGTGGCAGCTGCTGGCCAGAGGCCTAGCTCTGAAGGCAGTGCCTCTGCCAGAAGCAGGGCAGAAATAAAGGTGTCATGGTATGATATTGCCACCCTTACTTAGGTGCAATTGTTTGGGGCAATGCTGACTTCAGAGCCTGGTGCCTGGCCAGCAACTGCCACAGCTCTATGCTTTGCCTTCAGAGTTGGGTGACTTGAGACCAGATTTCACGGGACAGATGAGATTTCATGGTAAATTATGTGATTTTCATGAGTATGACTTTGACTTTGGTAGACTCTTAATTATGTCCATGTACGGTTTGGGAACGAAGAGTTAGAAAAGTCTGCTGTTTTGAAGGTGTGTGTACTAATTGCTTAAGTGTTTCTATCCATGGAGAGTAATAAAACATAGAATCTTAAACCTGGGAACATTATCTATTATAGTATAATATTTTTGCTGTGTGTTTGAATATTACCCATCTGGATGCTTCAGTAGCTTCATTTAAAAAAAAAATAAAACAAAAAACCTTCAGAAGCATAATTGGTATTTACAGTATATCTCAGATGTGGTTCCTTTTCCTAGCAAAGACTGAGAAGCTATTTTGAAGCCCATATTTTTTCAGATATCTGTCATAAGCAGTCCCTGTTTGTATGTTCAAGAAGCACTACTACAGCCAACTAAATGTAGTGAAGAAAATACCAGCCTTTTGTTTTTTAAATACAATTTTTTTTATCTCCATTGCAGTTAATTGGCTGTATTAGCACCTGAAAGTCCAGACAGAAACTGCGTATGTCATCAGCAAAAGTCTGGGAGAGGAAACTATAGTAGAGGTACAAATATTAACTGTGTGTTAACTTTTATGTGTGACTACCAAGTGTGTGTACATAGGTAGAAGTTATTAATGATATTATTTTGACAATAAAAATAATGTAAGTTACGATTAGCTTACTAGGGTGATTTTGAAATTGAAGGAAAGAGCAAGACATTAATCAGTATTAACTATGTCTACACTAGGACTTTTGTCAGTATAACTTATGTCAGTCAGACCCTGAGCGACATAACTTACACTAAAGGACAAGCTGATTTTGACAGCACTATGTTGATGGGAAAGCATTTCCCTCTGACATAGCTATTACTGCTCATTGGGGGTAGTTTAATTATGTTGGTAGAAGAGCTCTCTCCTGTTGGCATAGAGCAGTTACATGGGAGATTTTTATAGTGGGGCAGCTGAATGGCTGTAGTTAGTATTTGGAGATAAGTGCTTATACTACCTGAAACTTAATTAAGTAACAATTTCACGCATTCTACTACCACTGCATTTCAACCAAGACACATAAAACTTGAGAGTAATATTCTGATTAAAAGAAAGCATTGTGTAGAGTAGTAAATAGCAGAGTAGACTTTTAAGGACAGTAAGGCTACGTCTACACTAAGAGTTTTCTCAGCAAAAAATATGCAAATGAAAGTTGAGAGGTGGATAAGCAACTGGTTAAAGGGGAGACTACAGCAGGTCATACTGAAAGGTGAACTGTCAGGTTGGAGGAATGTTACTAGCGGAGTTCCTCAGGGATCAGTTTTGGGGCCAATTTTATTTAATCTTTTTATTGCTGATCTTGGCACCAAAAGTGGAAGTGTCCTAATAAAATTTGCAGATGACACAAAGTTGGGAGCTACTGCCAATTCAGAAAAGGATCGGGATATCATACAGGAAGATCTGGATGACCTTGTAAATTGGAGTGATAGCAATAGGATGAAATTTAATAGCGAGAAGTGTAAGGTTATGCATTTAGGGATTAATAACAAGAATTTTAGTTATAAGCTGGGGACACATCAGTTGGAAGTAACGGAGGAGGAGAAGGACCTCTGAGTCCTGGTTGATTATAGAATGACTATGAGCCGCCATTGTGACATGGCCGTGAAAAAGGCTAATATGATCTTGGGATGTATTAGGCGAGGTATTTCCAGTAGGGATAAGGAGGTGTTAGTGCCATTATACAAGGCATTGGTGAGACCCCATTTGGAATACTGTGTGCAGTTCTGGTCTCCCATGTTTAAGAAGGATGAATTCAAACTGGAACAGGTACAAAGAAGGGCCACTAGGATGATCCGAGGAGTGGAAAACCTGTCTTATGAAAGGAGACTCAAGGAGCTTGGCTTGTTTACCTTAACCAAAAGAAGGCTGAGGGGGGACATGATTGCACTTTTAAAATATCCAGGTTGGATATTAGGAAAAACTATTTTACTAGGAGGGTAGTGAAGCATTGGAATGGGTTACCTAGGGAAGTAGTGGAGTCTCCATCTCTAGAGGTGTTTAAGTCTCGGCTTGACAAAGCCCTGGCCGGGGTGATTTAGATGGGATTGGTCCTGCCTAGAGCGGGGGGCTGGACCTGACGACCTTCTGAGGTCTCTTCCAGTTCTATGATTCTATGATAAGGGGATGGTTGGATGAAATAACATGATCTTGGTAACTAATTGACCATTCATTATAGGGAACTTTCTGGGTGTCTGGCTGGTGAGTCTTGCCCACATGCTCAGGGTTTAGCTGATCGCCATATTTGGGGTCGGGAAGGAATTTTCCTCCAGGGTAGATTGGCAGAGGCCCTGGAGGTTTTTCGCCTTCCTCTGTAGCATGGGGTACAGATCACAGCTGGAGGATTCTCTGCATCTTGGGGTCTCCAAAGTATTTGAAGGCTTCAATATCTGAGATCTAGGTGAGAGGATTATTCTAGGAGGGGTGGGTGAGATTTTGTGGCCTGCACTGTGCAGGGGGTCAGACTAGATGATCATAATGGTCCCTTCTGACCTTAAAGTCTATGAGTCTGAGACTCATTTGCATGAGTCATGATCTCATTTGTATATTTTCTGCTGATCCATTTTTGTGCTGGGATTTTTGTGCAAAAACAAGCAGTGTGGACATTTTCTTTTTGTACAAAACCCCCTTTTTCCGCAGGATCCTTATGCCCCAAAAAAGGAGGTATACCCATCTTGCAGAAAAAGGGGTTTTAGCACAAAAAGAAAACATTCACACCGCTTGTTTTTGTGCAAAAATGGAATTCCTCATTTGCATATTTTTTACAGAGAAAACTCGTAGTGTTGATGTAGCCTAAGAGTTCTATGGGTATTTTTTTTGTGTATTACATCTATTTTTAATCAATTTAGTTACAATGTGGGTAACTACTAATTAGTTTGAAATTTTCCTTGTATGGGATAGAAATGAACATAGGTGATCCTGTTGATGGTTTTGTTTCTTCTCCTAGGGCCCAGTTGTTCAGATTTGAAGCAACCTACATACTTAGGATTTGAAAGAGATGTCTTCAAAACTATAGCAGACTACTATGGCCAGATGAAGGAACCTCTACTCACATTTCATCTTTTTGATGTTTTTGTTAGTGTGTTAGGTAAGTTGGCATGTAATATAATACAGAGAAGAAACGTGTGGTTTTGTTTCTTCTCCTAGGGCCCAGTTGTTCAGATTTGAAGCAACCTACATACTTAGGATTTGAAAGAGATGTCTTCAAAACTATAGCAGACTACTATGGCCAGATGAAGGAACCTCTACTCACATTTCATCTTTTTGATGTTTTTGTTAGTGTGTTAGGTAAGTTGGCATGTAATATAATACAGAGAAGAAACGTGAACTCTTT